CACCTGGGCTCCCAACCCCAACACACAGGAGGCACCGGAGCAGGACACACTGTCCAGGTGAATGAAGAAAACAGGAAAGGCCCAGACAGGAAAGTGAACGGAGGAGCTCAGGGCACCCCGAGCATCGGCCATCGTGGGCTGGGCAAGGGCACCCACCAGGGCTGAGCCGTGAGGGACGTGAGCCCAGCGGCCCTGGGGAGGACTGTACCCTGCCCTTCTGCCCATGGCAGGAGCCCTCCGACATTGGTCGTCACCTGACACCCTCCCCAGGTCATCCCGCCTCCCCAGCGCTCAGGACCCCAGCCCTAGCAGCCAAGCACCTGCGGCCTGCTTAGATTTTATTGAAGGTGAAGCTGGGGGGGCACACAGATCCACAGACCCTCCCCAGATTCCCAGGGTGGGCTCCAGGCGCCCCGGATGTGAGATGGGCTGAGGCTCTCTCCTGGGGCGCACGACTGCTCAGTACCCCTGTCTGCAACTCCAGGCACACGCCTTAGCTCCCGCCACCGTGCACAGATGGGGGGCAGGCAGGGATGGCGGGGGAGGATGGGTGGCGGCAAGGTGACAGCCCCCTTCCCGGCTGGAGAGGGTCCCTGCTGGGGCAGGCAGTGAGGGCAGGCCTGGGTGGGGCTGGGGCAGGGCAGGAACGTTACCCCCAGCTAGGCCCTCTTGGCCAGCTCCACCTGGGCCAGGTTGCGGTCACTCAGCACCGCACCCTGGTGATGGCGGCCAGCGGCTCTGGCGGTGCGGACTGCAGCACTTGTGCTCCTGGGCGTAGACGTGGAAGTGCTCCGCGTGCGATCAGCTCACCTCCATCGGCAGGAGGAGCCGGTGACCTTGGCGCCGCCACAGAGCTCGGTCTGGTCCTGCATCTACCGTGGCTGAGCTGGCGACTCCAGAAGCACGGAAGCCATGCCGGACCGAGGGGCCCTCGCCACACAGCCCACCCCCATGTGGGAGCCGGGGCACCTCCTTTCACCCGAGGGGGTGGCTGGTAGCAGGGTGGCGGGCAGCCCGCACGCGTGGGCACTGAGGAGGGAGGCCCGCCAGCCCGAGGCGGGACTGGCAAAACGCCGCAGGCATCCACAGCAGCCCACGCTCCTGCCCCACAGCCTGCCCAGGGCCCCCATCACCTCAAGGGCTCCCCAGGGACAGCGGGAAGATGCTGGACACCTCCTCCTCGCCCCAGCGGCCGCCCTGGCAGGCGTTGCCCACCATGGTGCGCTGGAGAAGCGCGGCTTGATGTGAAGGCGATGTCCCCGCCTCAGACAGGAAGTCGATCTCGAACCTGGGGCGTCACGCAGTCGTGAGAGCCCTGTAGGGCTGGCCAGCCCCCCGCGGGCCAAGAGGGGCGAACCTTGGGTCGAGGGGTGTCCCTTACTTGTCGTCTCCGGAGTCGGACTGTCCCTGGACCAGCAGGCTCCAGCCAGGGGCCCAGGCCCACCGCACAGAAGGCTTCGAACTGAACACAGAAGACAGGGTGGCGGGACAGAGAGGCCCCACGGGGCTGGAGCCTCCTCTCTCCTTGCATACCCCTCTGTCCTTACGTACCCCACTGTCCAGCCCAGCCTGTCCAGCCAGCCAGCTGTCCTCTACCCGTTCGGTCCTGTCTCTGCATGTTTCCTTGTCACAAGGGCGGGGAGCGGGGACAATCCTGCACGCCCCGCCCTCTCAGATGAGAGGGTGGAACCAGCCACAGGCACACGGTGGTTCAGGAGACCTCACCCTGCTCTTATCCCAAGTCCAGGTGCGAGGCTGGCCCCTCGGGCTCTGGTCTCACCCACCTGCAGGGCCATCTGTTCCCAGTCACGCAGAGGCGGGGGAGCCAAGGATATAGGCAGGTGGGCTGGGGGCGGGGTGCGCAGGACCCACGCGGTGGTTGACAAGGTCACTGTGCCCTTCCCCCCCTGGCCCTCGGCCTCTCCCTGCCAGCTGGCTGTCCACTCTGGCACGAGGATGGAGCGGGGTTGCCTGCCCATCCCCCTTCACCTGCTTCTGGGCCCACTTCTGAGGGTCCCCAGGCCTCTGGATAGCAGCTTCCCCAGCCTTGCAAGGGGGCATAGAGAGACGGGGACTGGCCAAGCTCTTCCTCTGGGGTCATGAGCCGACTCCAGGGACCCCAAACCCTCCTGTCTGGCCTAGTGAGGGTGAGGAGGGAGGGGTGTGCCCTTGGACTCATGCCCCTAGCCCCTGGGTCCATCTGACCACCTGGTGCTGCAGGACAGCCACCTGCAAGCCCCGCGCCCCGGCCCACCAGCTTCACCACCAGCCCTGCACCTCCCCAGCTGGCGCGCGCCGCAGGGCAATGGAGCGGGATTAGGCGGCGCTGGTCAGCGCATTCCAGGGCTCTGGGGGAGGGGGTTGGGGGGGGACAGGCCTTTCCACCCCCACCATGCCCCTCCTGGCGGGAGCCTCAGCCTCTCAGGCTGAGCAAGGGGGAGCCCAGCTGGGCCCTGGGAACAGCGTGGAGGGAGGTGGCAGCTGTGGGCCCTGAAGAAGGAAAGCTGGTCTGCGCTGACCCCAGCTGGAGCGGGCCCCCTGGGCCCGGTGAGTGAAGGTGAGTGTGCGCAACGTGGACCAGTGAGCCCGGTGCACGAGGGCTGGGTGCGAGTGCAGGCGTGTGCCTCCAGCTGGTGGTGCGCTCACGCTTGTGCCCCTGCCATGGCCTCAAGAAGATGGCGACTTCCAAGGGTGGTCTGAGCCCCATCGCGGTCTCTCCTGCCCAGTCCTACTCAGGCTGTGCAGGGCTGGCCTGTGTCCACTGCTCTCCTCAGGCTGCTGCCGGGGTGTGTGCCAGTTTGGGTGGAAGTGGGGCCGAGCTGGAAGGGACTCGGAAGGGTTTCTGGCTGCTCCTGCACCACTTAACAGTGCAGGGTGGTACAGAGACTGCTCTGTCTCCTCTCTCCTGCCCGACACATGGCAGGGATGGCTGTGGCCCTGCAGGGGGCGCCCTGGGCCTGTTGGTGCCCCTTGCCCCACGTCTCTTCCATTCTGCCTGGCCAGTCCTGGGCCCACAAGCCCAGGAGTTTGAGGTTGCTGTGAGCTAGGCTGACGCCACGGCACTCACTCTAGCCTGGACAACAAAGCGAGACTCTGTCTCAAAAAAAAAAAAAAAGATTTCATCAGAGTTGTGAAAGGACTGATAACTATTTGATCAGTAAAACCATTCTGTTTGTTTTTAAGGGTTTTTTAATTTTTCTCCTTGAAGGTGGTGATGATGGTGATGAAGTGCCGCAGATAGATGCTTATGAGCTTTTGGAAGCAGTAGAAATTCTTTCCAAACTTCCCAAAGACTTTTATGACAAAATTGTAAGTAGTAGTTAAACTTCTTTCATTTATTTCTTTTTAACTAATTACTTGAATACAATTAGAGAATGCTCTGCTGAGTGCTTGCCTGGTGCTTCCCCTTCACTCCATATCTTCCCTAGTAGAGTGAACTAGTTGCTTCTTCCTCTTTGTTCCCATACTACTTCATACGTACATGTATTATAGCACATTTTTAAAACATGTTTTGCCAAAAACCAGAACATTATTATTGACTTACTTTTCCTCATTTTCTCTCAGGTTTTACCTTTAAATGTCTCTCAAATTCATCCCCTTTTCTCTATCCCCACTGCCACTACTTTGCCAAGTTTTCTTGATCTTAGCACTGTTGACATTTTTGGTCAGATAATTCCTTGTTTTAGCTGGGCTGTCCTGTGCTTTAATAGGATATTTAGCAGCATCTCTAGCGTTTACCTGCTAGGTGTCAATACCATCCCCCTAAGTCATGACAATCAAAAATGTCTCCAGACACTGCCAGATGTTCCCTAGGAGACAAAATTGTCCCAAGTTGAGAAACATCATCTCTTGGCTTACATGCTGCAGTGGTCTTCTTACAAGACTCCTTGTCTCTGCTATCGCCTCCTTTCCATCATTCTTCACAGTGTAATTAGAGGTGTTATTTTTTTTTTTTTTTTTTTTTTTTTGTGCCGGGCCTCCGCTTAGTTGCCCAGGCTAGAGTGCTGTGGCGTCAGCCTAGCTCACAGCAACCTCAAACTCCTGGGCTCAAGCGATCCTGCTGCCTCAGCCTCTCAAGAAGCTGGGACTACAGGCATGTGCCACCGTGCCTGGCTAATTTTTTCTATATATTTTTATTTGGCCAATTAATTTCTTTCTATTTTTAGTAGAGACGGGGGTATCACTTTTGCTCAGGCTGGTTTCCAACTCCTGACCTTGAGCCATCCTCCCGCCTCGGCCTCCCAGAGTGCTAGGATTACAGGCGTGAGCCACCGTGCGCGGTCAAGATAGATGATTGATAGACTATATATAGACAGCTAGATAGAGATGAATAGATGACCATTGGTGTTAGTGAGTCACATTAAAACTAACACACAGTTATGAAAGCTACCAGGAAACCCCATTGCGTGAGCCCCTGCAGTCACCTCGCCTCCCGACTTTGGGGCCCTTTCCAGACACGAGGTGGGGCCACTACCCCCATTGAACAGATGTGAAAACTGAGGCTGAGAGATGGGGGGATTTGTGGATGGTCACACGGCTCTTCCTGCTCATCTTCCCATGAGGGGTCCCCCAGGGTGCTCCCTCCCGACACCTGGGCTCCCCCCAACCCCAACACATAGGAGGCACCGGAGCAGGAGCACACCTGGTCCCAGGTGAATGAAGAGAAACAGGAAAGGCCCAGACAGGAAGTGGAACGGAGGAAGCTCCAGGGCCACCGAGGCATTGTGGGCTGGGCAGGGCACCCCACCAGGGCTGAGCCGTGAGGGACGTGAGCCCAGCGGCCCTGGGGGAGGACTGTAGCCCCTGCCCTTTTGGCCCATGGCCAGGAGCCCTCCCGACATTGGTCGTCACCTGACACCCCTCCCCCAGGTCCATCCCGGCCCCTCCCCAGCGCTTCAGGGACCCCAGCCCCTAGCAGCCAAGCACCTGCGGCCTGCTTAGATTTTATTGAAGGTGAAGCTGGGGGGGCACACAGATCCACAGACCCCTCCCCAGATTCCCCAGGGTGGGGCTCCAGGCGCCCCGGATGTGAGATGGGCTGAGGCTCTCTCCTGGGGCGCACGGACTGCTCAGTAGCCCCTGTCCCTGCAAACATCAGGCACACGCCTTAGCTCCCGCCACCGTGCACAGATGGGGGGCAGGCAGGGATGGCGGGGGAGGAATGGGTGGACGGCAAGGTGACAGCCCCCTTCCCGGCTGGAGAGGGTCCCTGCTGGGGCAGGCAGTGAGGGGCAGGGCTGGGTGGGGCTGGGGCAGGGGCAGGAACGTTACCCCCAGCTCAGGCCCCTCTTGGCCAGCTCCACCTGGGCCAGGTTGCGGTCACTCAGCACCCGCACCCTGGTGATGGCGGCCAGCGGCCTCTGGCGGTGCGGGAACTGCAGCACCTTGTGCTCCTGGGCGTAGACGTGGAAGTGCTCCGCGTCCGAGCTCACCTCCATCTGGGCAGAAGGAGCCGGTGACCTTGGCGCCGGCCACAGAGCCTCGGTCTGGTCCTGCATCTACCGTGGCTGAGCTGGCGACTCCAGGAAGCACGGAAGCCATGCCGGCCCGAGGGGCCCTCGCCACACAGCCCCCACCCCCATGTGGGAGCCGGGGCACCTCCTTTCACCCGAGGGGGTGGCTGGTAGCCAGGGTGGCGGGCAGCCCCGCACGCATGGGGCACTGAGGAGGGGAGGCCCGCCCAGCCCGAGGCGGGACTGGCAAACAGGCCCGCAGGCCATCCACAGCGAGCCCCAGCCTCCTGCCCCCCACAGCCCTGCCCGGGCCCCCCATCACCTCAAAGGGCTCCCCCAGAGACAGCGGGAAGATGCTGGACACCTCCTCTTCGCCCCAGCGGCCGCCCTGGCAGGCGTTGCCCACCATGGTGGCGCTGGAGAAGCGCGGCTTGATGTGGAAGGCGATGTCCCCCGCCTCAGACAGGAAGTCGATCTCGAACCTGGGGGCGTCACGCAGTCGTGAGAGCCCTGTAGGGCTGGGCCAGCCGCCCGGCCGGGCCAAGAGGGGCGAACCTTGGGGTCGAGGGGGTGTCCCTTACTTGTCGTCTCCAGAGTCGGACTGTCCCTGGACCAGCAGGCTCCAGCCAGGGGCCAAGCCCCCCGCACAGAAGGCTTCGAACTGAACACAGAAGACAGGGTGGCGGGACAGAGAGGCCCCACGGGGCTGGAGCCTCCTCTCTCCCTTGCATACCCCCCTGTCCTTTACGTACCCCACTGTCCCAGCCAGCTGTCCCCAGCCAGCCAGCTGTCCTCTACCCATTCGGGTCCCTGTTCCTCTGTATGTTTCCTTTGTCACAAGGGCCGGGGAGCGGGGACAATCCTGCACGCCCCCCGCCCTCTCAGATGAGAGGGTGGAACCAGCACCCCAGGGCACACGGGTGGTTCAGGGAGACCCCACCCTGCTCCCTTATCCCCAAGTCCAGGGTGCGAGGCTGGCCCCTCGGGCTCTGGTCTCACCCACCTGCAGGGCCATCTGTTCCCAGTCACGGCAGAGGCGGGGGAGCCAAGGATATAGGCAGGGTGGGCTGGGGGCGGGGTGCGCAGGAGCCCCACCCCGGGTGGCTTGACAAGGTCACTGTGCCCTTCCCTCCCCCTGGCCCTCGGGCCTCTCCCTGCCAACTGGCTGTCCACTCTGGCACGAGGATGGAGCGGGGTTGCCTGCCCATCCCCCCTCACCTGCTTCCTGGGCCCCACTTCTGAGGGTCCCCAGGCCTCTGGGATAGCAGCTTCCCCAGCCTTGCAAGGGGGCATAGAGAGACGGGGACCCTGGCCCAAGCTCTTCCTCTGGGGTCATGAGCCGACTCCAGGGACCCCAACCCTCCTGTCTGGCCTAGTGAGGGTGGAGGAGGGGTGTGCCCTTGGACTCATGCCCTAGCCCCTGGGGTCCATCTGACCACCTGGTGCTGCAGGACAGACCCACCTGCAAGCCCGCGCCCCCGGCCCACCAGTTTCCCACCCCAGCCCTGCACCCTCCCCAGCTGGCTCAGCGGCCCGCAGGGCATGGAGCGGGATTAGGCGGGCGCTGGTCAGCGCATTCCAGGGCTCTGGGGGACGGGGGTTGGGGGGGGACAGGCCTTTCCCACCCCACCCATGCCCCCTCCTGGCGGGAGCCTCAGCCTCTCAGGCTGAGCAAGGGGAGGAGCCAGCTGGGCCCTGGGACAGCGTGGAGGGAGGTGGGCAGCTGTGGGCCCCTGAAGAGGAAAGCTGGTCTGCGCTGACCCCAGCTGGAGCGGACCCCTGGGGCCGGTGAGTGCAGGTGAGTGTGCGAGCGTGGACAGTGAGCCCGGGTGCACGAGGGCTGGGTGCGAGTGCAGGCGTGTGCCTCCAGCTGGTGGTGCTCACGCTGTGCCCTGCCCATGGGCCTCAAGAAGATGGCACTTCCCAGGTGGTCCCTGAGCCCCCATCGCCGGGTCTCCTCCTGCCCAGTCCTTACTCAGGCTGTGGCAGGGCTGGCCCTGTGTCCACCTGGCCTTTCCTCAGTGCTGCTGCCGGGGTGTGTGCCAGTTTGGGTGGGAAGGTGGGGCGGCCGAGGCTGGAAGGGGACTCGGAAGGGTTCCTGGCTGGCTCCTGCCCACTGAACAGTGCAGGGTGGTACAGAGACTGCTCTGTCCTCCTCTCTCCTGCCCAACACATGGCAGGGATGGCTGTGGCCCTGCAGGGGGCAGCCCTGGGCCTGTGTGGCCTGCCCCTGCCACGTCTCTTCCCCATTCTGCCTGGCCATCCTGGGCCCACAGGCAGCAGCCCCATAGCTGCCTCCCCCAGGGGCACAGAGGGAAGCCCCTGGCTGCTTCCCTCCTCCCTGTCCTGTCCCCTGTCCTGTGGGCCTGGGACAGGGGCGGTCCTGGCTTTAGCTGCTGGGAGAGGACATGGAGCCTGGACTCTGGGTACAGAGCTGGCCAGTGCCTGGGGCCCAGGGCTGGGTAGAGCATGGAGTCAGGGGACTGGAACAGGCTCCTGGCCTCTGGGCATCGCTCTCCCCAGCTGTCCCCTGGGCTCAGCAGTCCAGCTCAGCAATGCCAACCTCTCTGCTCCACACCTGTCCCTTAAGCAAGGGAGGGCAGCCTGGGGAAGCCACACCCTGGACACAGGAACCTGGACATTGTCCACTCCATCTCTGTCCCAGTTTTCTCCTTTGGGGACCAGCAGGGGTGCTGGTGGAGGGGCCTCAGGTCTTGGAAGCAGCTGCAGAGCTCCGGCTTCACGTCAGGGGGTTATGGGGGGACTCGGCCCCCACACTCCCTGGACAGGAGGCCCGGGTGCTGCTGCCGGGGGCGGGGAGTCCTGAGACCCCGCTTCACCACTCTGAGCCCCAGGCCCCCACCTCAGGGGCCCTCGAGGGCATCAGGGGTGTGAGCCAGTCTTGTTCATGCCCTACCTGGGTGCCCCCAGCCCCCCAAGGACAAAGCAGGCCAAGGGCCTCACCTGGGCCTCCACCCCACAGCTCCACGTGTGCCTGGCATGAGTGCAGAGCTGTGATCTCACCGGTCTGACTGTGGCCTCAGCACCTCTCCCACGTAGGTAGGAGCCAGAGCTGCCAACGGTCTCAGCACCAGGCAGCCGAGGGCTTGGAAGCCAGACCCAGGCTGGCTGGGGACAGAGAGAGACTCCAAAGACCCCCTGTGGCGGGCCCAGCCCTACAGGCACAGGCTGTCCTCAGCCCCAAAGCCGCGGTCCTGGATCCGACCCTGGCCCACCTCTATTGCAGCCTCGGGGGTCAGGGTGGCGCGGTGGGCAGTGCCCTGAGCGGCTGGCTGGGCGCTGGCTGCCCGGGGCCGTGGCTTAGGGCCCAGGAGCAAACAGATTTGCTGTCTCGGTGCCGCCCCCACCTCCTGTCCCGCTGCACACCCACCCGGATGTGCGGTTTCGCCCCGGGCTGTTGACTCCACGGGCTCCGGGAGGCAGCAGCATCTCCCCCCTGCTCGGGAGGATCTGTGCCAGGACGGGCCGAGCTCGGCCCTGCAGCCTCCATCGCCAGCACAGGGCTGGCACTCAGGGACGCCACTGGACACTTCCTGCCCACCGCAGAAGAGCAGCACCATCTATCGAGGGCTTTCTCTGTGCTGGGCGACAGCTATAAGCTCTGTACCTGCATTGTCACATTTATGGCACTATGTGATCCTCCTGTTAGAGAAGAATATAAAAACAGAGAGGTTAAGCCACTTGCCCAAGGTCACGCAGGAAGGGAGTAACAACACCAGGATCTGAACCCAGTGGTCCCCCGTGTCCTTGCTCCTAAATACCACACTGGACTGTCTCCTGGAAACAGAGCCTCTCACCAGGCTAGGAGGGGTAGGGTGATCAGGGTTGGCTTCCTGGAGGAGGAGACAACTAAAGTGGTTCTTGAAGAATGAGTAGGAGTTAGAAGGGGGTGGGTGAAGGGTGTTCAGGGAGAGGAAACAGCAGGTTCAAGAGCAGGACGGCTGGGCCCAGGGATGGGTGGCGGGGCTGTGTCCCCAGAGGTGCCTGGCACAAATCTCCCAGGGACAATTTGGCAAGGATTGCCTCATCTTTTTAGGAGCCTGGTAGAGCTTCCATGGGATTCCTGGAGTTAGGCATCACTGTACCCATTTGAGTGATGAGGAAACTGAGGCTCTGAGAGAAGAAACCACCCTATGGCCCCACGGTGAGGGTGCGGCTGGGCCAGGCCGTGGATGCAGCCTCTGGACTCCCGGCCTCACCCCACTGGCCATCCCTGCACTCCTGCCCTGCCCACCCTGCACTGAGCACCCGGCTTGGCCTGACAGTGTGTGGCTTCAGGTGCTGTGCCTGGCTCTCGGGGTCTCAGGGCAGGCCACGTTGCTTTCTCAGCCTCAGATCCCTCCCCAGGACCCCCTCCCCACCCCCAGCCCACATCTGGAACTGCTCGGCTGGACAGTGAGCTCAGGGCAGAAATTCTCAGGCCCTGCCCAGGGAGAAGGCTCTAGACAGCCCCCGCCAGGCAGGGGAAGGCGCTGATGCCAGCATGGATGGCCACAGGCCAGCTCTGCCCCTGGCTGGGCACTGGGTGGCCCTGGTATCTGGGCATGCGCCCTGGGTCAGGCGGGAGAAGTGAGGTGAGCATGGAGAGAGCTGGGGCAGTTGGAAAGCCCACTTCACAGGTGGGGAAACCGAGGCCCACCTGGGGGCCAGCAAGGGCAGCTGCAGGGTGGGCCCCGCGCTCTGGCCGCTGCTCCTGCTGTGAGGACACGAGTCCTGTTAAAGGCTGGAACTGACTGTGGCTGGGGGGAGCTGATCCCGGGCTGACCCCAGCTCTGCAGAGGGGATGTGGTCCCTCACCCCTGGTGCCCCCTCACCTGGCCATTCTGAATCTCTAACAGCTGTCCCTAGCCACCGCCGGTCCTATGGACACTCGCCTGTCCCGAGTCGCAGTCCCTCCAAGTTCATCTCTCAAGGACCTTCCTGGGTCACTCCCGCCTCTGTCTCCCTCACGGGAGACAGAGGGCGCTTTCAATCCAAGCCAGCGAGTGAGGTCCTACTGTGTGCCGGGAGCTGCCCGGGACCCTCAGAGCTCTGCAGGAGAGGAGTAGGTCTGCGCCTGACCCCCGCGGGCCCTCTGTTCCTCCCCTCACTCTCCTGCCGGCCCCGAGCAGCTCTGGGCACACAGTAGGTGCTCGGATGGTTGCAATAACCCTGCCTCCCTGATTCAGGGCAGATGGAGACCCCCCAGGTGCAGGGAAAGGCGATGCAGGAAAGAATCCAGGGAACCCCAGCTCGGCCTGGTCCCAACACCTGCTGCTTCCCAGCAGAGCCCTACTGTGCGCTTCACGCCATGCCAGGCCTTCACCATCGGGTCCTCTGTGGGAAGCAACCAGCTGCCCATTCACTTATTCAGCAAATACTTGTTGAGCACCTACTAGGTGACAAGCCATGTGTTGTGGGGAACAAGACAGACAGACATAGTGCGTGCCCCTCACAGAGCTTCCAATGTCTGAGTAAAGGGGGACAGATGCTAACTGGCAAAATCCTACACCCCATTATTTAATTACTATTATGATAAAAAGCTCTGAAGGGAAAATATGAAGAGTGACAATCATGTACCTTGTTGGGGGGTACCTAGCCCTGAAATGAGCAGTCAGGGAGGACTTCCTGGAGGAGGTAACATCTGAGCTGAACCCAGAAGAGAGAGAGGCTGGCCACATGAAACAAGGAAGAGCATTCCTGGCAGATGGAACAGCATGTGCAAAGGCCCTGGGCAAGGAAGGGTCCAGACATGTGAAGGGGCAGGATAGAAATGGGGAAGACATGTCCCCACCCCCAGCCCTGCTGCTTGACTGGGGTCTAGCCTCCCTGGCCTTTCCTGCCAGGCACTGCCCCCTCCCTGATTAACCCTCAGTGGCCTGGCATTGTTCCTGGATAAGCCGCCCACCCAGTGCCCGGCCATTGTCCATGGCTGTGCTTCCCACCCTGAGGCTGTTATCGCCCAGAGAATCTGCTCACTTGGGGGCATTTTGTGGGCTGGAGATTTGCCTGAAG